AATTTTGGCATTTATTCCCTGCTGAGGCAAAAATACTTAGCACAGTAGCTAAGTATTCCCCCTTGCTGAACTGAATGGAGCTCACCACCCATGTGCTACTCTTTAGAGCAATGAGCCCAGGAAGACCTGAACAAAAAATGCCTGTTCCCAAACTGTTGTATTTTTGTGACAGGTAAAAATATACGATCAGATTAATATGACTAGATGTACTGGTAATTGAAGTGATGATTTTCAATTACTTAGGTCAGGCAGAGTTCATGCACTAACCCATTTCAGGTATTTTTGGACTGAAATGCCATGATACTAAGGTATGTTTATTTTTAACACTATGAGAATAAACTCAAGACTTACTTTACTAAAATTGCAATAATTTCCCAGCAACTTCTTCACCTGTCAATATAGAAACAACTCGTGCAGAGTCTGAAAATAAACCTGTCCATGCCAAATGTACTGCTAACATCACACTAGATAGTCACCATACATTCTTTTCTCTCTCTCTCTCTTAAACACACAGAGGAATTTTTGTCAGGTTTTTTCAAGAGGTCCAAATTTTTATTTAAGACTCTTCACTAGTGTTCCTTCTGATTTATAGATGAGGAAAGCACCTCGAGAAGCAAAATGACAACACAGGCAACAGACTAGTAAAGAGCAAGTTCCTTTAGCACCCATGCCCTGTCATGATGGCTTCCTCCAAAGTACTGTCACTCTGTAAGCATCACTGTGCTTCCATTCAGCACCATACTTCTGGAAATAAACTTTTCAAAACATGACATTCAAAAAATCCGGATGGTAACCAAACACAAACTTTGGTTTGTTTGGGACATGCTACTTAATTTTAATGTTAATTTATTCCACTGTGAGGTTTAGCCACCAGTAGACATTTCGTAAAAATGAAACCATGAGCTGTCTCCATGAAGACAAAGCATGTGACAAGTCACTGTGCTGAGAGAAACTATGTGCATTACATGATAAAAATAAGTACAAAGCCACATGTATACACCAAATCTATATTTTTATACTGAAAAATGTTTATCAAGAAGGTATTTTGTGCTTCCCCCATATTATAACCATACACACCCAAAGGCTGGATTTTCTCCCACATTCATTTTAAACTTCTTAACTTATGGAGAACCAGGCCCAAGGCAAAAAACCAAGCTTGAACTATGTGATAAGAAGTTAAACTCCAGCCTAACTCAGTAGTATTGTACTTTCCTAGTCTTTTGGATATGTGCTGACACAAGCTTTAAATCTTTTCATCCTTTCCTCTAAATAAAGCAATCTGGGACAGCTTAGCTTTAGTGGAAACTCAAACAATGAATTCACAGAGCAAAGGCAGCAGACCATCCTCCTTATGAGGACATGAAAACACAGCCCTAAGCTCCAATACAATCATCCTTTAAGCTCAATATGCCTTAGTTTCCCCTAATATGCTGTTAGTGGTACTAACAGCACTTCAGAGTGCTCCAGTTCATTATCTGCTCATACCCTGAAGTTATCTTCTTTGTTAGAAATAACCTTTGAATTTTTAGTACAATTAACTTGTAATATTTATTTAGTTATTTATTCAAAACACATCTTCCTAGAACAGTTTAAGAACTTTATTATGATGCTTTACAAGGAAAAAATAGCTAGTGTTCAAAAGAAATAAAGAGCTACGACTTCACTAATAGTTACATGATCCTTTAACTACAAACTTTGACCCGGCTCTAGCAGTGTGGTCTTTATCAGCAGCAAGTCCCAGAAGTTGTCATTTAAAACAATACTTGCCTTTCTAACTAGGGCTCAATCAATGAAACAAATTTAATTCATATTTTACATACAGTATATTAATAAAATTGTGAATGAATGTATTGTTTGGAAAGTCTGAAGGAAAAGCTGGAAAGTCAAAGAATATCCTGCCTGAGGCTTCCATAGAGACAGACACAATAGTTATGACACTCCTATGGTATGCGTGCCACAGACTTCTGGTTTGAGCATAGAATTCACGGGCATTAGAAAAGGTTTTTCAAATTTAAGATCTTCTACGATTCACAATACTCCCGTTTTTTGGCTTGGCTATATATTTAAGGAGAACGAACAAGACAGAGCCAAACAGTATTAAACAAGGGCCAGACTCTGCAGCCCTTGGAGCTGCTCTTTACCCTCCAGGCTCAATTCTTTGGAACTTACCGAAGGCTCTGGCACAGAGGCAGGGAGCCTCTCTGCTACTAGAGTAGAAGCAGAATGTCCCTTTGTCCCACAACTCACGTGAAACAAGAACCCTTGAATCAGCAAAGGGAAAAGCTCTTCTAGGACAGAGGCAGTCCCAGGGATTGGAAACAGGCATGGCACAACACAGGCAAACAGCTCTGTGGAAAACTGGAGCCCTTGATTTCTACTTGGCATACTGCACTCGTCTACAGGTGCAACTAGGGCTTCCTCAGCATTTCCCATGTTTTCTGTGTGATTCTGTGCTCTTTTTTCAGAAAGCTTTTGGGAAATCAATGCATTTGTCCTTGTGAGCAGAGTGGAATTGTGGAATAGCAACAGCTGATGACCACACAAAGTTGTTCACCCGGTAACCCTCATGGTTTACCATCCCAAGCTGTCCTACCTACTCAAAAATTGGGTCATGAAAAGTGGGAAGGCTGATGAGTCCCTAATAAGAGACTGAAGTTAGCTTCTGTTTGCAGCAAAAATATTGCCTTAAAGAGAAAACACAGAGAATGTAGTTTTGGAGGGAGAGGGACCACAGGGACTAAACTGGGGGAGGTAATGATGGATCAGTACCCTGGCATTCTGCAATCTGATTCTTTGACCTCTTTATAAAAAAGAAAAATAGAAACCTTAAAATGGTGGAAGGAAAAATACATAAATCATATGGCACTTCAGGAGATCCAAAATGGTTATGGAGAGCTATTCAGATGTTTAAATGTGATTAGGGATGGGTCAATACTGAGAGCCGGTTAACTCCTTGCAACAAATAGATGAACTCCCACATCTGCTCAGCAGCATTATCCCAGTGCCACTGCTGCATGCTGGCAGAATGTCATGAGGCACCACAACTTTCAGCCCTTACCATGACCAGCAGAGACTAAGATAGAGTATGAGAGGAGGTATTTGAGTCCCACCAACACAGCAGTAAACCTGTGGCATCTACCAGGTCCTGTCCCACCTGAGAAACAGTCACTCCTTCCTGCACCATTAGTGGCTAAGTTTACTGTGGCAATTCTTGAGTTCAGGCAACTTCTTGTTTGGTATGAATTCTGAGGGTTGCTGCTCACAGTTTCAAGCCTGTTTTTGTAACCAGAAGAGCCTGAAACAGTTTTCTGAAGCAAACACTTATCTAAGGGTACAGTTTTGGCAGTCAAAGCCTTAGGGACACATTCCTATTGTTCCTATGCCTTAATGCAGGCAGCTGAAGCCCTGCTGAGCCAAACCAAGCAAGCTCAGCATGATCACAGTCTGAACACCTGCGCAGTGCACTGAGCAGAAACGGATGGCTCTCAGCGGAGCACCTTTCCACTCCCAGAGCAAGGTAAGGGGAGATGGAAAATCCTGGGTGAGGAGGAAGAACACAAACTAGCTGAATACAAGCTAGTTGATATGAGATGGGAGCGATGATGTAGTAATTGTAAGAGAAGATCAAAATTAAACTGAAAGTAGGTCCAAGATTTTATTAACTGATGGAAGATGCTGCTCTTTCGGCCCAGAGAGGAATGAGAACTCTTATCACACTGTTGTTCAGGACGTTGTTCCTCAGCTGTTTCCTGAGCAGACCTGAACTGTATTTGTTGCATTAAGGACATATGAAAGGAATGGTCAACAAGAAGATAACAGTGAAGAGTCTCCAAAACAGTAATGAAAATCCTAAGACTGTGAATACTTCAGAGTACAAACAAGCTCATGTTCTTTGCACCAATCAGTAACAAACTGTACTGGAAATAGGACAGAGTCCTTCAAAGTTCAAAATATCAAGGGTACTCTTTCTCTTGTACCTTGATGACAGGAAAAAGAAAAACAATCTCAGACAGCTTATGGTATCCACCAAGTGATAGACCTCTTGGTGCACTTAACAGCGTCACCACCACATTAGGTCAACTGAGAGAGCAGTGCCCCTTCCCAGTGCTGCAGCGCTGCCCCTCTTCCTGTCCTGCTGATGCACAGTGACACCATTACATTCCCACTGGGTACTGCAGAAACAGTCTTGCCTACCACCGTCAGCTGTGCTGGAGGAGAAAAATTAAGCCCTATAAGGATACAGCTAAATATAATCAAGTTTAGTTCTGCAATTAGAGTTGAATATAGCAAAAGCTGCAACTTTCATAAAGATGACTCATGATTAGACATGATGTCACACATGAAAAATTTAATCCAAACAACTTGTCTGTTTCACTACAAACAGCAAACTCGAATGTCCTGGCAAACTGTAAGGACATGATTTACAAATACTAGGTAATATTTGGATCTTACATTATAAGCATTGCTCCAGTCTTTCTGAGAAATAAAAATGATTTCATTCTGGGCTTAGCTTGGTCATTTCAATAGACCAAGCTTCACCAGAGACATAAGCTGTAACTGTACATATTGAGCTCAATATATACAAAGTTTTGTTTTGGTCACAGACCACACAAGTGTCCACCCTTAATATTTCTTGTTGCTTTGAGGCTTTTTGCATTACGATACTATTAGACTTCCAACCAGGACTGGCAATCTTGTAACCTCACAGCTTTTGAACTAAAATAGCTGTTAGTATTAACCACACAATGTGCAGATTCTGAAAAAGCAGTTTTGCTTTCTTTTCCTTGAATGCACATAACAAGTAATTGGCTACTTTTTCCAAACTGCTTTGCCCTACCACCTAACTGTTCCCCAGAGCCCTACAATGAAACTTGATCTACTGTTAACTTGTTTTTTTTTAATGTAAGCTTGAAAAACTTCCAAATGAATGCCATTAACTCCATGTCTTGTGCGACAAGTAGCTATGATAGAGAGCAGGCCAAAGGACTGTGTATACTTACAAAGAAAACTCTTCGGATTCCAGGTGCCAGTCTTTCTGTTTTTAGTTTCCAGACCAAAGGCAAAGGAGAGTTGAGAAGAAACACCAAAGGCTTCTGGTGAATATGCACTGATGAAATTGGATTCAAATGTAACGTGACCTACAGAGAAACACAGAAATATGTGAATACTTCCTGGAATTTGAAACAGCGAATCAAAAGTAATTTTTATATATATTATGACTTTTAGCATTCAGACCTCTTGACTCAAGACTGCAGACTAATCTACTTCCACAAAAATCAGTCAACAGAGCAGAGAGAATATAAAAGATGAAATAGTTAACATTTGTGCTCTATGCTTGCAAAGCACTGCTAAAGTGTTTAAGAAAACCTTGGCAAATGTTGATGAAAAATAGCTTATGCAAAAGGTCAAACCACTAAGCTGAGAGTTGGAGAACAAGGAGATAAAACGAATTGCAAAGCAAACTCCGATTTCTGGTTTCTAGATGGTAGCCTACAAAGCTGGCTTAGAGTACAAAATCTTATCTGCTGATTCTATTAGGGGCATAAATCTAGCCTGCAAAACAAATAAAACTAAACAAACAAAAAACAGGAGGAAAAAATCCAGAAACACAAGGAAGCACTACACTAGTTCATGGAAGAAATTCCAAAAGAAATTTTAACATACACTAGGGAAAGAAAATGCCTGTCTTCAGGGACTAGAAGGATATATAGGGTAAATGATCTCAAGAAAGTGGACATCACAAAAGTGAGGCAACCTGTTACAGGTGGCTTTGAAGCTACCAGTCTGTGGTTTCTGGAAGCCCCTCCTGCTCAGCTCCTTGTATCCTGGTGCTGCCCCTCTAGAAAGGGTCCCATGTTGGACAAAACCCTCACCAAATGCATGATAGAACAGCCTGTCAGTTTTTAGCATACAACTTGCAACTGATATCACAGTGTTTTTACAGCATCTAATAAGCTGTTTAAGCAGTGATTATTTAGCTTGATAGCTCAACCCACATTATAGGAAGTAACATTTAGTGTGCAATGGAGAGATGATCTACCACAGACTGAGCAGAGAAGCTGATGTCCCACAATAATGGGTGATAGGCAGATTCCCTGATAGACAACCACAGCTCTTTCTCAAAAAGGTATAGAGGGAGCAAACACGAACACAACCACCAATCTGAGTGGTGGCAAATAGAAATGAGCATACAGGTAATTCAGAATTAATTCTGTATCCTGCTAAAGAACTTGACAGGAGATCTGAGACCATGTATAGTCAATTGCATGATTCTTCTATAATGGCAAGCAGACATCAGTTTACCATTAAACATAGATTCTTCTGGCAAACTAACTTCATGAAAGTTAGACACCAAATTGAAAATTAGGCACCCATTACTGTTGAAAATATTTCCAAAAGAACAAGTTAGGGTGTTTTTTTTATTTTTTAATTTTCTTCATTTCCCCTTGAAAAGTTCACCATCACTGTAAAGCGAACGCCAAGACCTGGTCTCAGATCTGACAGACACCTGGAGGTGTCCACTACTCAAGAACTTGCAAAAAAGCTGGCAAACAGCTGGCTGTGCTCTCATGCCAATGAGAAAGCAGTTGCTTACATGTGCAGAATGACTGACTGTGTTGCTCATCCCCACAGTGGCACAGATACCAAATCCCACAGGCACATCTCTGGGGGCACAAAGGGCATCTCTGTCCTCCTCCTCTTTGTTAAGCGGATTAAAACTTGTTGGAAAACTGAATAAATCCGTATTTGTACTAAACCCAAGCTGCTTTAAAGAACAAGCATCTCTCCCCATCAGCAGCTGGGCAGTGACAGTGCTGCCTGCAGGAAGGCCAGGCACTGTCATTTTCTGCCCACCGCTGCCATCTTTGTCACCACTTGGCCTCTCCAGCAGAAGACCCAGTGGTATTTATGCATTTCCAAAAGAAAACACTAAGTACCACAGATTACCACAAACCACATTTCTCTCCATTTTCTGCCTCTAAAGAATACAATACCTCATTTTTGGAAACTGGAGGGTGTTAGTGCTCTCAATTCTAGTGGGAGGACAGAGACTTGAAATACCAAACAGGCGTGTTTTTAGCTACAGAAACTGTTTTACGGTATCAGCTATAGAGCCGAAGTAATTCTGTTAGTTGAAAATAAGAGAGAAAGTGAAATTATTTGTTTTATAAGGCTCCTGCTTTGTCGTTCTGTCTAGAAATGTCAAGGTGAAAGGAAAAGGTGTTTAGAACCACTATTAATTCCCGACTATTAAAAAGCTTTTGTTAATTCTTGTGGGTTTTCAGCTGTAATCACTGCTAATTACTAATAAGCTGTTTAAACTATTAAATATAATTATCTTGTTCTGGGGTTATGTTTTCTTATAAAGCAATAAAAACACTGTAATCTCAGTTTACCAAAGTAGCTCCTCTTCCAGACTCACATCTGCCCTTTGTGTCCCCCTTTGGCACACACGCCTCCAAATAATACATGACCAACTTGTGAGGAATACAACAATTTAGACACAGATGAAATGTATAGATTAAAATTATTCTGAAAATCTTAAACCAAAACCTACTAATTCATTTTTAAAAAGCATGTAAGTCTGACTGGGACATGAAGAAGTTATGCCATTTTTGCTAGAATGCATTTTTCCACATACATTAAAAAAACGGAAAAAAAAAAAGTCTTGAAGTTACCACGTTCAGAGATGCCCTGTCTATCAAATCTGTGCTGGCATTACTCAGTCAGCTGTATCTGTACATACTCATACTGGTCACTTCTGGCTGCACAGAGTTCCTTTAAGGTCTCCAGCAGCTGCAAGGTTAAGGAGGCTGCAGAGGTTTCTGTCCCCAGAGATCACAGTTTCATGGAGGGCTGAGTATCACCACAGAAACCAACTACAAAAACAGTCTATGGGCTCCTACCCCGTTACTCTGGTAAAGCAATTTGTACTACGTGAAAGGCAAGGACACAAATGCTGAAAACTGATCAAAGTAAATGCTGCTGTTAAAGTACCATTTTGTTTTGCTGACTTCAAGGCATCAAATCACAGGCTTTGTGTTTTGTTCTAAAAAGATGAAAGTTAAGTGCCAAGGATTTGTAAGGTTGAATTAACTATTCCATCATGAAGACCTTCAGATAAATTCATAGCACATTTTCCAAAACAGCCATTACAAATTTGTGCTAATAAGCCAGGACAAAATATGCTGTGTTGTATTGAATTACACTGCCTAGGCTTGGACAGCTGTTCTCTAAAAAAGAAGAAAAAGAAAAGAACTTTAACTCTCAGATCACATAAGCACATTTTCTGAATTACAAGTGATGCACTAAAGATAGATTTATGACATCTTAACTCATTACTCTGCTGCAAAGATTAAATTAACTCATTCAAAGCAGGCAAAATTTAAAGCAGAATTTTGAAAATTTATACCTATCCTTGCTCTAAGTGTTCTCACTCTTTTTGTTAATACAATATTTATAGGACATAATTTATTCTGGTATTGTAACAGTCAAAGAAATTAATATGAAGAAACGTAGCTTCACAGTTCACTCATGTCTAATAATCAATATAGGAGGTTTCGAATTTCCCCTGAAATTCACTTGAAAAAATATAATGTTGATACATTGGCCATAACAGAATTCAGTCGAGGATTAATCCATGAATCCACCTCAAGTGGTGGGATCTAGTACTGCACCACTTTTCAGAAGTTTATCAATTACTCTGGGAAGGATCCTCTGGCCAATTTTTTTTATTTTTAAGATAAAAGTAAAGAAAAAATGTTTTCTTTAGACAGAGACTGTGAATTCAAAATGGAACACTGTTTCTTCCTCACCCTCATATTTTGGTATGCTCACTGAATATTGTGTTACAGATGTGATAGCAAGCCACCTATAGTAGATTACACTGCCCAGCTTTCAGGAGCCAACAGTTTCCAAGAGAGAGTTCGTTGATTTTTCCAAGAAACATAAAATATGTTCAAGTGGTGTTACTGTTTGAAGGTAGTTTTGATCAAAGGGTTACATATTTGCACTCTTAAATCAAATGAGGGTATAAGCACTTTCCTATAAGCACAGGAGACGGCTCCCTGCTTCCCTTCTGGGAAGATTCTCCAATGCACACTCTTTATTCATAGAAGGCAAGCACCAATTTTTCTGAAAACTCATCCCAGCAATGAGAAGGAAGATCTTCAAAACAGTATCAGAGAAACAACTAACTCCAGGAAAACTGCAATGCCATTGAAAACAAGCCCTCGTACCCACAGTTACTTTTTCTCCCACAGAACTCAATACTGTGCCCCCTTCACAGCCCTTGCCACAACAAGCCATGCTTTCTTCTCTCTGCTAGGCGAGCACTAATGGACCTGCCCCTTTGGGAGAGAGCAGCAGGGCTGCAGTGCATAGGGCATGAGGGAAGAAAAGACCTTTTCTTTTTGCACTGCTGCCAGGATGAGGCATGACTCAGTCCCCAGGGAATGGGTCTGAGTCCCTGGTAGCATTCACCAGGTACATGGGGGACTGAAGTTTATTTCCAAGGCTCATGTAACACTGTAATTCTAAAATCAACCCTTTGTTTTTTTTATCCTAAATATATGATTGCAAATGAATTGGCATTGCCTGGACCTTCTCGCCCACACAATACTGAGAGAATCTGATTGACTAAACAGCAGTTATAGCTCAGTTGTAAAAATCATGGGAAAGATTCACCCCTGGCATAATTCCACTGAAGCTACTGGCATTAAACCAGAGACTGATGTGGTCCCATACATTACTTCTTTAAAAAAAAGAATACTATTGCACAATCTGTTGACTGTTATGATCTACCACCCAGACGGGAAACCTCCAGTCAAAAAGTGGTAGGATGACTCCATCAAAAAGAAGACAAGAGAACAGAAAGGTTGATAAGGACTACCCAACTATGATCTACGGCCCATTGCACTCTTTTCATTAAGAAGTACTGTCAAAAACCTTTGACTGAAAAATGCTTGATATTTCCTTTTTTTTTTCTCCCTATTTGTCCTGCAACAGGGGCTAAAGGTCAGGATGTGCTGTGCCAGACACAAAGAGCTTAAAAATCAAGTCCTGCAGCATGTGCACATGCTATTAACAAACTATTCTGAATAATGCATGATGTTCCCAGAGGCCTCTTTAAAATGAA